ATTCAGTATATTTTGCAATGATTATTATAAAATTTGTATTTTCTATTATCTACTTGATTTCTTCATATCTGTGTTGGGAGCTATGCATCCGGTTTTCACGAGGCCAAAACAAGTGGGATTTCCGCGCCAACTAAATGACACTGGCTAAAATTAAAATGGTTCACGAACAATCGGGTATCTTAGATAACATTTTATAAAGTGGATGGAGGAACGACCCACTTCCATTTAATATATTACTGTGGAGTAGAGAGCTGTCGCTTCCGAGAAGTTTCACTGTGTCTATGTGTATTTATCTTTTTAAATATTGATCACGTGTTTAACCTTGGTATATATATGAAAACAAATATCTTAATGCATGTTTCAATATTTGCAGTGCTTCTAAAGTGGGTGGTGTGAAGCAGATGCTTGTTCAAACAGCTTGCATCAACACTTTAGCATCTCAAGATCAGTTACTTGACGATGATACAGAAATGCTGCGATCCTCCTTCAAAGAATCTGTCTTAACCTTCAAGTTGGATGATACGGATGGTGAGTTATATATTTAAGCATTCAATTTAACTAAGTCAGGCTAGCTGTTAACACTAAACACACCAACACTTAACCTATTTCTACCAAAGCCAGTCTGGACTTCATGTTTTTGATTGAAATATGGATGTTAGGAAGGAAATAAACTAAAAACAACTTTATTATAATTAAACAAAATTGTAATTATATATATCTCCAATGTACATTTTCCGCAAACATATTTCTTCGAACTATTATCATTGCTATAATTATTCTTATAATTAATTTTATTTCTTCTAAGAGCTGTCTTGATTGTTTAGACATTTTTCTGGGTAAAAACTAACTGTTAGTTAGAAATGAAGTGAAGCTATCAAAATAAAATATATGCTACTTACCTAAAATTGTAGTTTTTGTCACTTTTTCTGACACAGAAATGCCAATCTAAAATGTTAGGTACTTTCTTGAAATTTGAATGTACAGTTATTCCTATTGAACTCACTACGCAACAGTCTTTGTAGAAATGTGCAACTCGTTGAATACGCATTACATCTTAATTTCTGATCCGATAACCTTATAAAGCAATAAATTGTTCTTCCGGTCAAATGGCCGGTCGTGGTAGAAATAGGTAAACGACTGGTATTATTCGAAACAGACAAAATACAAAAATATATAATATTATTCACTGTATATAATTGTTAGAAAGAGTCATGAAGTCAAATGTGCAAAAAGGATAAGATGATAATCATATTTTTGATGAAAAAGTTCTTAAATGTTCATTTGACTGTTCATTGTATGTTTAGTATTAAAAAAAAAACTATTAACACCAAATTAAACTTTATTCATCAGCATAGTCTCCTTTAGGAGTAATGCGTGATTCTTATGCCTTTCTCATGCGATTGTAGACATGCTAAAAAAGGTTGGTTTATTGAATCGGTCGCTTTTTGAAATGAAATCTACAACAGAATCATTGCAATTTCGAAAATTCCTGTTTTGTCCAATAGAGATTTTAGAAAGCATATGTTCTAAAAGAGAAATATGTCATGTTTTTTTTTTCTTGTAGAATAATTTTAAAATTTTCTTTCTTTTCAAGTTTTGAAAAATGTTTAGCTTACAGGGCGGATGACAACTTTTGGTAAAAATGAAGTGTTGTAATTTAAAAAAAAAATTTCAACATAGAGGGTAAGATTTCTATGTAAGATTCCAATGTAATTTTTAAGAGTTATTCAGTTTAAATAGTTCCTTTTATCTCTGAAGAAAATTTTAAAAAAAGCATTAAGTTTAAAGCNAGCATTAAGTTTAAAGCCAGTCGCCTCCTTCCGGTTGTGCGGTCACACTTTATATGGCTCTCATTACAGACCAATTTTATTTTGATAGAAATCCCTGAAATAACAGGGAATTCCTGTTATTTTAGGTTAGGTATTTTAGGTAATTCCAGTTTTTCTTTAGAAATAGGGAAAATAACGGGAATTTTGTTTCTTATTTTCGTCTGAAGTGCAGTCTGAGATATTTGAGCTATATTAAACTACATAGTTTGTTTATTATAACATTATTTGTTAAAAGTATGTTGGCCTTTTTTTTTTTCTTCTCTTAAGTTTTTCCAGCAATGAAAACCATTATAGTTAGTCCAATATAGCTCACACAAGAGCACAACAATTGTGTATAATATGTGCAGTGAAAACACTGCATTTTTATTTCAACCCTGATGATAGTTCTGTTTTTGTGTCTACCCCTCAGTAATAATTATATGATTTATGTATTTCTTGACACTATCTGTATTTTGTTTTGTTCCGTTGATTAAGAAACTTTGATTTCTATTTTTGCAGAAGATGTAGAACCTGTTAAATGTACAATTCCAATGTACAGTACCAATACTGAATCTTTAATGAAAGAGAAGAGTAAACGGAATTATCAGATTATGTCACCAGAAGATCAGGTTTGTTGTATCCCTTTTATGTTAACACTCGTTAAAAGAGTTGCTATAAATAATGAATATTCAGTGTAAGTCATGAGAAATCATGGATTTAGGTCTAATCAAATTTTTAAAATG